CAGCTCGTGTGGCTCCGGGAAGAGGTATGAGGCAGGTTGTATCCTGGGCTCAGCTGACATCCCAGCTGACATCCCTCCCCACCTGCCTGGTGTCACGTGTGCCGGGGTTGAGGGGCGCTCGGCCACAGGAGGGGCATCAAAATTGTGTGTGTGGACCCTGTTGGGGACGGTGTATGCTGGTGTTAGTGCCAGGCGGGCCTGACCAGAACCCTTTGCAGACACGCTGAGCTCAGGGCCTTGAGAGGGGCCCACACCGCCCAGACCTGGAGCTCGCACAGTTCTGGCCTGGAGAAGAGCTTGGTGGCAAGTGAGGTTGTAGGCGATGCGCAGCGTTTTGTGTGTCCACACGTGAAATTGTACTGGAACACGTGCAAAAAGTGAATCTAATGACATAGGAGCAAAAGGCAATCTTGAGTTGCCACGGGGTAGGTGACCCTTTACCCCAACGGCTTCCAGCTAGTGGCGGTTGGGCATCGGCGGTAACATGTCATGTTGTGTCCTAGGGAGGCGTCAGATCCACCACCTGGGGAGCCAGCTGCAGCTGAACCAACACTGCCTGGACACAGCCTTCAACTTCTTCAAGATGGCCGTGAGCAAGCACCTGACCCGCGGCCGGAAAATGGCCCACGTGATCGCGGCCTGCCTCTACCTGGTGTGCCGGACGGAGGGCACCCCGCGTATCCTTTGGTTCGGGCCTGGTGGAGGGCCCCAACTTGGCTTGGTCAGCCTCCTGGGCCCTGTGTCACAGCGGCTGGTGTTTGTGTTTAATGGAAGCCCCTTGTTGGATTAACCGTCTGGACGGACTAGAGCCAGGCTGGAGTCCGAGGTGCCTGGCAGGCGGCTGTGCAGAGGCCTGCTGACCTCACCTCGCCTCTGGAGAGCATGGTGGGCCGCGGTCCCCTGTGCTCAGCCCGCGCGGCGCTTGCCCCGAGTGCAGCCCTGCTCTCCGACGGCCCCGCGCTGAGACTTCTGTGTGTCGAGTCTTACGGGGCTCTCTGGCCCTCCCCGTTCCCTGTGGGCTGTCGCTGTCCTGCTGCCTGTGTCTCCTCCCCCAACCCCTCCTGTGCGGGACCCGTGCTCCCGGCCCCGTGTCCTCCCTTCGTGACCGCACGTCATCCAGTGCTTCCTGAGAACTGGCACCTGTCAACACCGGAGGGTGGTCTTCCTGCTGCCCGGGCGCTGGGGACAGTCGGACAGGAGTCAGCTTGCAAACTGGTCTCCCCAGAGTGTGGCCGGAGCTGCCGCAGCCGTCCCGCGTCCTGGTCCCTCTCGAGCAGTTTGCTGTCCGGGCTCTTGTCCTCTCTGTGGGGCGGGCGTGCTGCTCGGAGGCTGGAGCCCCTCCCGTGTGTCTGCAGGTCAGAGGCGCCCCTGCGGGGCCCTGGCGCCACCCTGGGGTCGCTGTGGCGTCTCCCTTTGTTCACTCTGCTGCCCCACTGACCTGCCTTCTGGCCTTTTTTATTCCCGTTTCCCACTTACTTACCTTTCGCTTTGGGGGTTTGTCTTCGAACCAAGTCTTCATTTCTGCTTTCGTGTTCCTGGTCTGAGTGCCCCTGTGTTCTCTGAACGCTCCTGTGAGGCCCGTTCTGCACGGGTTTCCTGGGTGTGGCGTCGCCTTGGCCCTGAGCTCTCTGCTCCTGTGTTTTGGACTCTGTCACAGGCTATCCCCGATGGCAGGCGGGGCCGCCCCACCCCCCCAGCCTGGGCTGGGGGTCTGCGTGGAGAGGCAGCCCCCTGTGCTGGCCCCTCGCGTCTGCCGGCAGTACCTTTGGATGACAGTTCCTAATTCTAGTGAAGTCCGGTGCACCCATCTCCTCCTTCACGGTTAATGTTTTTGTGCCCCGTTTGGGGGAATCTTTGCTCCAGATCCTGGAGACATCCTCCTGTGTTCCCTTCTGGAAGCTTTTGGTTTACACTTCCTGTCGGAGTGAGGGCATCTGAGGCGGAGTCTGTGCGTCTGGTGAGGAGAGGGCACAGTTTGCTTCCTCCGCTGGGCGTCCCGGTGACCAGGCACCCCCCGGCTTGGTGGTGGCCCCGCTGCTGTCGCCGTCGGACCCCTTCTGGCCTCTGTGCCAACCCCAGACGGGGCTAAATACTGCAGGTTTATGACGCGTCTCAGGGCCTGCAGCGCGAGACCTCGCACCCTAGCTGTTCTTCTGCCTCCGATCTTTCTGGGGTCCTCTGTTTCTCCATATAAATTTTTAAATCAGATTGTCCATTTCCATTAAAAAAAACCTTATGGGATTCTGATTGGGGTTTGTGGATCAATTTGGGGAAAACCAACCTTCATTTTAACAGCCCTGAGTCTCCTAGCCAGTGAGTCCTGCTCCTGGGGTGCTCTGCCCTCTCAGGACGCGAGTCCCCATCGTCTGTCACAGTTCTCCCCGAGCGCCTGTGTCTTGAGCCGAGGCCCCTTTTGCAGCTCACGTGGAAGCACAGCTGGGTCGGCTGATGATGTGCCTGGAGGTTGATCTCCTGTCTGGACGCTGGGGCCTCTGGCTTGTGTGCAGCCATGCCTGCTGCCAGTGTCGGTGCCTCCTCCTGGGCTGTCGGCCTGCTCTGTGCTAGCAGAGCTGGGAGGGGCTCTGTCTGGCCCCAGGGCCCTGCCGTCGGCATCTGTAGGTGCCCCTTGTCGGGCGGCAGGCTGCGGGGCGTCCCTTCTTCCTGACTGCCACCAGCGGTGTCTGCAGGGGTTGAATCGCCCGCAGATTTGCTGCTGTGATCATCGTGGGGGGTCCGCCCAGTCTGTGCCGGGGTGAGTCACAATGCCTGGTCTTTAAAGGTGGAAGCACGCTTGCACTCGTGGCTTGGTCAGGGCCTGCCAGCGTCTCCAGGCGTGGCCGATATCCTGGGTGCAGTCATGCGGGAGGCCCGTGTCTGTCTTCCTGTGACCACCTTGTCAGTTGCTGCGTCGTGGCCATGCTCTCCCCGTCCCCCTGGGACGTGCCCCTCGCGCTCCCGACCCTGGGCGGTCTGGGATGATTGGGGCCATGGCCTCTGGAGACGTTGGGGAAGCTCACAGCGACGCCAGGGGGGCCTTAGCTTTCTCTGTGGTGAGGGCGAGTCATGGACTCAGCTTCTGTAACAGGCGTGGAGCCCTCCGGACTTCCCGCTGCTCGCTCCAGTTTTGATAAGTTGGATTTTGCAAGGCCTGGTCTGCCCTCCTCTGGGGTTGCTTGTCCTCTACCCGAAGAGCTCCTGCTTGTGTTTCTCCAGTACATCTGCTAGGACGACTCTTCCAGCTTGTGTGTGTGGAACACCTGTGTTTTGTTCTCGTCGGAAAGATATCTTCGGTGAGTGTGGAATGCGGGGCCGGCCGTGCTTCTTCTGGAAACCGGGCCCTGCTCTGTGCTGCCGCCGAGGTCCTGCCGCCTGGGCCCTGTGCCGTCTCGTCACTTGTTGAAGGGCCGGCCTCACGTCCCCCGCTCTTCACAGGGGTTCTGTCTCTGTCCCGGGGCTGTGACCCTGAGGTCCCCACACGTGGTTTTCTTGGTGTTGCCTGCTATTTGTGGAGCTTCTGGCATTTGGCAACTTAATGTCTTGTGTCTGTTTTGGGGAAATCTTCGGAGGTACTTTTTCAAACGTAATTTCTCCCCCATTCTTTGTCCCTTTTCTGGGACCCCAGTGGCACCCAGTTCGACCCTTTCGTCGTGTCTCAGGCTGTGCTTCGTATTTTCCGTTCTGGTTTTCTCCTTTTCCTCCCTCGGCTTCACTCTGAAGCCTCCCGTGACCCATCTCGAGTTCGGAGCTCTTTCAGCCTCTCCCATGCTGTGTGGGCCGCCCTGAGCGCGGCGCCGCCTGCAGACGTGCGCGTTCCCGGTGGTCTTTCTATGGGACCGCGGCTCTGGGCGCAGCCCCCGCCCCTGCGGTTACAGGAGGGCCTGGAGCGGCCCCACAGTGGGGTCAGTGGCGGGGCTTTTACTGCGTGAGTTTTCTTCTGGTTTTTGGCCTGTTGGTCTTGCCTGTTGTGGTGCTTGGTAAGTTTTTATGGAACTGCTGGATGTGGTGAGATGTCGTGGCATCTGAGAGGATTTGCATCCAGCGGGGGTTTCGCCTTCTCTGGGGGCGGAGGGTCTGTGGGGACCTGGCCCGGCTGCGCCCTGACTTGAGTCTCAGTGTGGGCTTGGCCACTGCTGGGCATGACCTGGCCATCTTTTGCAGCAGAGGGTCGGAGACCTGCCCGCTTCCTGGCCACTGGCTGTGGCCATGACTGAGCTCGAGAGTGGGCTGGCCAGGCCCTGAGGGCCAGCGTGCACAGTGATCAGGCCCCTCTTGGCAGTTTGGTCCCTCGGGTCTGGCTATCTCGGGCATCCCTGAACTGAATTGTGTTCCCCTGGTGATTCTGGGTGAGCACCAGGCGCCACTTTGGCTTCTGCCCTCCGCCTTTTGCCCTGAAGGCGGCCGTGCTTGCGGGGAGCCGACCAGCTGGCTGGGCACTCAGCTCACCACGGAGGCCCCTCCCCTCTTCTGGGGTCTCGTCCGCGGGCTACACGTGGCTGCTGGCGTTTTTCTGGTGTTTAGACTTGTTCCTGATAGTGTGGTCACGCTGCTGCTCCCCTGGGGCTGCAGGTGGAAGTTGCTGGGGCGTCTTCTCCTCCGCCCTCCGCCCTCCCGCTGGTGTCCAGGCGCTTGCCCTTCCCTGCCCCGCAGTCCCCAGCAGCTCTGCCCGCCTGCCTCCACCGTGGCCCGTCAAGGACTGCCATGTATACGGCCTGCTCACTCCATGCCCGGGCTCTCCAGGTCCCGCCCCCGTCCCTGTCTTCCTGCCGCGGCCAGTGAGGCCGGATCTCTGAGTGCCAGTTCCTCCTCTGGCCTCACCAGGCTCCGGCTGTTCTCAGTACCTCAGACGTGCGCCCCCTCCTCCCCGCCCCCAGAACAGACACTGGCTCGTTGGCCCACGAGAACAGATGACCGCGGTTGGACAGCAGTCGGCACCGTGCTCAAGTGCGGGCTGTTCGCTGGCCGAAGCCCAGTGATGGGCCTTCATGGGTTGGGGCGCCTGGGTGCACTGGAAAGTCAGGGAGAGACTGGCTGGAAGGTGGGGTCCTGACTCCCTCTGCTGTCCCAGTGTGTTGGGCTGGGGTGGGTGGAGCTGAGCCCCTGGGCCAGGGCGAGCTGGGTGCGGAGTGGTCCCCCGCAGCTGCAGGCCTGAGCTCTGACCTCCGCCAGCCGTCAGGGAGGCAGGGCCAGGGGTGTGCAGCCAAGCTGGGTCTGGGCCTGGGCCTCGCCCACACCTCCTCCAGGCAGGCGGCAGTGCTGGCACAGGCCGTGGCGTGGAGCTGCGAGGGCAGGCGGCCAGCATCTCTGGACCCAGCAGCCTGGCTGCGCAGAAGACTGGTCCTCAGAGTGGGGGCTCTGAAGGGCACCCTTGCGAACGTCTCGGAGAGCAATGAGGGTGTCCTGTGTTGATTCTCTGAGGTAGGGTGCATACGGGGAGGTGGCAGCGGGCCCTGGCTGAGGACTTGGGCACATGGTGTGGGGGGCTCAGTCGGGTGAGGGCCTGTGACGACTCACAGCCCTCGGGGTCGGGGTCGGGGGGTGGGGTGGGGATGGAAAGTGGGCTGTGGGAGAGGGTCCGGGCAGGTGAGGGGGTGGGCTCCTGGGGTCAGCTGTCCTCAAGGTGCCGCGGCTGCCCAAGCCCAGGGGTGAATGTGAACCAGCTCCCACGGAGCCTGGCTGGGGGGCGGGGGCCTACTGCAGGCAGCCCGGGAGGAGGGCAGCTCGAGTCCCGGGGGAGTGCAGCTTGTGCGGGGGCTCTGCCCGGGCGCTCCGGGTGTGCCGGGGCAGCCTTGCGTGGCTGTGCGGGCATGACCTCTGACTGCCAGTCATCACTAGCGCAGCAGGACAGCAGGACAGCAGGGCGCTGGCTGCCTGGGAAGGCGGGGTGTGGTGCTGGAGGGTGGTGGGTGCCGGGGCAGGTCCGTTCCTGCTCCTTGGTGCTGATGGCGCTGTTGTCCCTGGGACTCCCCTTCTCACGTCTGGGGGCCAGGAAGCGGTTGCCCCCCTGGTCCCGCCACGCCTGGAAGCATGGCGTCCAGGCACACACGTGAGTGACGTTCCAGAGCTGCTGGGTGTGCACACTTTCCCTCTGGACTCCCGCAGAATCCCCGGGAGAGGCAGCAGAGAGAAATGCCATGTTCTTTTGACCTTTAGTTCTGCCTTATTTAAATCTCTGTAAACTGTTACATTTACTCAAAACGAGGCTCAGTTTAAATCGGGCCCTGCCTCTGCTCGTTGCCCCGGAAGCGCTGTGCAGGCAGCCAGATGGCCCCGTCCCCTCCGGGCGCGGCTGGTCCTGTGGCGCTGGAGCCGCCCTCGCTCCGCTAAACCGCTGCACACACTTTGGACCCTCAGGGGTGTCCAGGATCTCCAGAGGGAGTTCTGTCCGCTACCCTTCGTGCTGGTGTGCCCCTTCCAGGACCGGCTCTCAGCTGGGTGTTTGCCGAGCAGAAGCACCATCTGCTAGAGCCCGGCGGGGACCCAGGCGGAGTGGCCGTTAGACCCGCACTCAGGCCTCGTCCGCCACCTTACTTACCATTCCAGCCGGTTCAGAGTCGGGTCTCTGCACCGAGGTTAGAAGCAACTGCTTAGCAAAAGGGAATGGTTGCTGCGGAGGCCGCAGGCCCACGGCCAGCCTGACGGGTGGCTTTCCCAAGTCTCGAGTTGGGGGGCCCAAGGACACTGGTGGGCTCGGCCCAGGAGGGACGTGAGGGCGGGTGTGGGCGCATTGTTCAGGAAGCACTGAGTCAGACCGTCCCCCCTCGGACAGGAACCAAGCTGTCCAGACGCTCCCGTGGCCGCAGGGTGGGTGCCCCGCTGTTGCCATTTTGAGGACAGCAATCATTTTAGCTTGGTGAAGAGTTGCAGCCCAGCCTCCTAGTAAAAACACACACATTCCCCCATTATTTTGTCGTGAAAAATCTCAAACACGTGGCTGAGCTGAAAGGCATGCGCGGTGGATGCGCCCACCCCGGAGCCACTCAGCCTCCTCCCTGGCGCCTGTCAGGGCAGCGTGTGGACCTGTGCCCGTGGCCCCCAGGCCCTCAGCAGGCAGGGCTCCACTGACTAGATGCCAGCAGTTTTCGTGGCCCTCGTTTCCTTTTAAGGGGGGCTCTGCCGCGCTCCAGTGACCGGAGCCACTGGTCCCGGTCGGCCGCCCTGCCCGGGAAGCAGGCCTTCACGCTGCCTGTGCTGTGGGGCGGGGCAGGTGGCCCAGCCTCTCTGAGCATCCTGGAGGGTCTCCTGGCTTCCTGAGGGCCCGCAGGGTCGGTGGGCCACAGTTGGCATCACCCCGCATCCTCACCAGCGTTTGTGGCCCTTGTGGGGGCGGGGGGGGGCGTGTGAATTTGCGTTTCTGTGATAGCGACTGAAACATCTGTCCAACACTTTTGCCCATTTTCTTGGTCTTTATTTTATTATTGTTACCTTTTACATAGACGTCATTTTTAAGAGCAGTTGTAGGTTTATGAAGAAATCATGCCGAGTTCCGTGTTCTCCCCCCGCCCGGAGTTCCCTGTTAGTGTGCTGTGTTACCGCCGAGGGCCAGTGCTGACGCGTTCAGACTAACAAGCCCACAGCTGACGGGGCTCGCCCATGCTGGTCCACCCTCGGTGGGCTCGCCAAATGACCGTGGCCACATGTCCACCACGGCGCATCACTCCCGCAGCTCCACGGCCCTGAAGAACCCCGTGCTCCGCCTGCTCATCCCCCCTCCTCCCCCCGGCAACCCTGCCCCTCCCACTTCTCCATAGTTTTGCTTTTCCGGAACGTTGTACAGTCGGGATCTGACAGTCTGCAGTCTCTCGGCTACATTGGTTTTCCACTTTGTGGCGTCGCTGCTTCTGCGGCAGTGTTTAGTGTTCACTGTGGCCTTCCATTTCCTGTGCTTTCACTTTTCTCCTCCGAGTTCCTCTCACTGGCTTGCTGGTCTGCGCTGCGGTGTGGCTTGTCTCGTTGCGACGGACTCCTGGGAGAAGCCGTGCCTTCAGATACCGAGGGACGGGGGCCTTCCAGTCGAGGAGCTGGAGGGCACGTCGGATGCTCGCCACCCCAGGGAGGCTCTGGCGCTGGGAGCCCTTTCTCCTTGCTGGGTGGGGTCCAGGGTCTGCCTCTGGGCCCTGGTCTGGGCCCTGGTTCAGCTTCACGGGGGCTTGCTAGTTGCTTCGGCGTAAGCCACAACAGACACGTGGGTGACACTCAAGTCACGTCACCTGACAAGTTGCCTTTTCTGCTGGCCTGTGTTTTACGTGTGTGTGCGTCTCGCTGAGTCTTGGGTCACTTAGGACTGTTTAATCGGCAGGGCCTACGCCAGAGCCCCCCCAGTTGCCCTCCCCAGCACCAGTCCTGTTGTCGTGCCTGCCGGCCGCCGAGGACGCCCACGTCCATGCATCTGTCCCAAGAGCCGCGGGCCCCGGACAGAGGACACTGCCCCAGAGCCCAGCAGGCGCTCAGTGGGTGCTTGTGGGAGGCGGTGAGCGTGGCTGTGCACCTGCGGGGAGGCGGGGCAGGAGCCCCTCGTGCAGCCGACACCTGGCTGGGCAGGACGCGCACGGGGGTGGGAGCTGCCTGGGAGGCCGCGCGCACTCCGAGCACCGTGTCGAAGGCCCGCCTCAGCTCTGCTGCCCCACGGGGCGGTTCGGGGGTCTGTCAGAAGTTCCTGTCAGCCCTGCTGCGGCTGCCTCGCTCTGCCTTCACGATCCAGGGCTGAGCTTAGCTCTGCAGCAAGGCTCTGCCCCCTGGAAGGTGTCAGGTGGCCGGTGCCTGTGGGCCTGGGTGTTGCTCCTTAACTCTTCTCGCAGACATGCTCCTTGACCTCAGTGACCTGCTCCAGGTAGACGCATTTCCTTTCTCAGCCCCTCCCTGTAGGCTCGCGCACACCCCAGAGGCCGGTCCCTGCTCCTTCCCTAGCTGGGAGTGCCCACGGGGCGTGGGTCTCTGTTCTGAAACTGGCAAACAGAGTGGGTAGGGAGGCCGTGGACACGGGGTCACGGTGCCGCCCCCGGGGCCGGGCAGCTCTGGCCTCAGCACCAGTGGAGAGACCTGGGTGCACTCAGTGCGAGGCCTGGGAGAGTCGCTAACAGGAAGATAAAGGGGCTCGTCTGCATACACTCTACACAGCATGGAAACACACTTACAGACTGTCGAGAGGAGCTGGCTTACTGGCTACCAGGGAAGCGTCTGTCCTTCCCAGATGACTGAGCATTAGGGAGAAACCCAACATGGGCCCCCGCGGGGGTGGGACACGATGGGGTGGGGGGCATCGCCAGGGTCCCCGACTGAGTGGGGCACAGCCCCGGGGATGGTGCTGGGGTTCAACCCCACAGTGATCACTCCCCTGAGGACGTGGAAAGAAAACAGTGAAAGCACATGTGACTGCAGTGTGAGGGTTCATGCGGAATTCACACGAACTCCACCCACTCCTACAGGGAAAGCTTCCCTGTGAGCCTGGGTGCCCCGCTGCCGAGGGCTGGGCTTCAGTGCCCCCTGGGGCCCAGGACAGGTAGACCTTCCCCTGACCCACACACGCATGTGTTTGTGTCCTCCCAGCTGTCTTTCTAAACGGGATCTCTCAGAAGTCCCGCTGAAATACTCTGCGGTCAGGCTAAAAATAATCCCTTGGAATGGTGGAAATCCAACACTCCGTGTGCCATGCCTGGTCAGGGCAGGCCACGTGCCTGGTTTCCATCCTGGTGCCCAGGAGGACGGAGCGCGGGCTGGAGCGGGACAGAGGTCTGGAAGTGCTGGGGCACCGCCCGGGGGCGGGGGTGCCCAGCTCTCTTGCTTCACAGCTGTGGGAATGGGGGGCCGGTCAGGGTCCAGATGGAAGAGGGTGACGGGAGGTATGCCTGCTCACCTGGCTGAAGCAGGGCCTGGGGAGAGACACGGTGCCGGCCAGCGAGATCCGGAACTTCAGGCTAGACCCACACAACTTGCTTCGACCCTTTAGCACTGCAGGTGGACGGTGAACCCCGGGCCCCCGGTCCTGGGCAGAGGCACCGAGAGGCTGTGAGGCGGCGCGGCGGCCGGCGCCCGGGCTGGGCCTGGCTCTGCAGTGTCAGGGCAGATGCTGCTGCGCTTGCCTGTGGGCGTGGAGCGTGCCTGTCGGGGGAGGGTCCCCTGGGGAGCTCGTGCTGATGAGGGCTGGCCGCTCAGGGAGAGGGGCGGGAGCTGCCGTGAGGAGGACCGCTCCATGGTTAGGCTGCTCCTGGGGTCAGGCTCAGGGTGACGCACGAGGGTCCTGACAGGAGGCCCCTTCCCCGTGCGGTGCGGCTGACGCAGAGCCAGTCACCTGCCCAGGGGCCTCGGCCCCTCAGAGGCCAGGAGGGAGACCCTCGGGATTTCTCCCAAGCACTTCTGGCCACTCTAACATCTCTGACGGGAACTGTGCACGGCGCATGCAGAGCCTTCCTACAGTTGACTGTCCATTTGAAGTTGTTCAGAGCCCTTTTCCGCAGCATTCAGGTGTTCTTCCCTCGGGGCTGCGGGATCGGGCTAGTGGAAGGTGTGGCGTGGGCAGGCAGGGTCAGGAATGTGCTGTGGGAGGGCGGAGACAGCACGCTGGGGCAGTCAGTTCCGTTCTGGCCTGAGCAGAGGCATGAAAGCAGGAGGGTCAAGATTCAGGAGCCTGGGGGGAACCTGGCAAAGAGCTGGGGTGTCTAGGGAGACGCGCACCCACACACGCACACCTTGGTGGCAGGCCCAGGGCACAGTGCTCAGAAGGCAGGCTCCGTGAGCCAGCAGTCCTCATGACCAGTGTCTCGGAGGAGGCGGCAGTGGGGTGAAGGGTGCCTTGTGCTGCCTGGACGCGGAGGCCTGGCCCCTTGCTGGGCAGGCCCCAAGCTGGCTAGTGCCTACACGTCCCTCCCGTGCCCCCACTTCTTAGTACCCTGATCCCCCGGTGGTAGTGGGTGCCTGTGGGTGCCGCCTGCCAGCCTGTGGTGGGTGTAGCACACACACACTGAGGCCCTCACTCTTCCTCGGCATCTTCTCTGGTGTCCTCTTGGATGCCCTCGAGGAGCTCACAGGCCAGGCTTGGTTAGGCGAAGCAGCTCTCGGGGGGGAGGTCAGAGGCAGAGGGCCAGGGCCAGCCCTCCTGGGAGGCCCGAGGCCTACGGGCAGGACTGGGGTGAAGACAGGTGCGCGGGAGGCGAGGTGGGTGGGGTTTCTGTAGTTCAGGCCCCAGATGGCGAAGGCTGCAGCTCCCCAGCCTTTCCCTGGCTCTGCACCTCATCCAGGGCTTCCCGCGACCTCTGGATGGTTCCTTCTCTGCCTGCCGTCAGTGCTGCTCAGCAGCCTCCTCCTCGCAGGCTGCCCGGCCCTTGGTCAGCACCAGGCAGGCCATTAGGATAGTGCCTGGCCCAGCCCAGGGCTCCGTCGCCCCAGAGGTCTGCACCTGGGTGCTCGGCCCCTTGCCGTGCTGGCAGGTGCTGGGGCAGGGACAGGTTCCACGGCAGGCCTGGACTTGAGGTGGGAGCAGTGCAGGGTCATTGAGGTCTGCAGAGACCCATGGCCATGACCGTGCTGGCCCACAGGGACACAGACAGTATGCCGCCGGTGCACCCCTGGGAGCGAGGCCCCACAGTTTGGGGCCTCGTGCCGCAGACGCTCCTACTCTGCCAGCTACTCTTAAGCCAGGGTTTCTTCTTAGTGGATTCAGTCGCTGCCCAGAGGGCGGCAGAGGCACAGAGGCCGCCTGGGAGTTGGGCGTGGGGCGCTGGCTGCTCATGGGGGCCAGCAGGGGCTCTTGTAGACTAAGTGACGAAATGCACATTTTAAGAAAAAAGAAGAACGCAAATGCTTCCTGCACGTAGATGCTGTTCTTAGTTGTGGTCTTTTCGTGACAGGTGAATGTTTATGTGCTGGGGAAGACGTTCCTTCTCTTGGCGAGAGAGCTCTGCATCAACGCGCCAGCGATAGGTATGGTGGGGCTTATGAGTCTCCAGGTGGGAGGGAGGTGTGTGCAAGGGCCAGGACCCCAGGAGGGGAGAGATGTCACCTGAGCAGACGCTGGGGGTGGGGGTGGAGGGAGCAGTGTGGCGGTTATTTCTGGTTTAAAACCAGGATGCCCTCTGGTCTGTCGTCACAGGTGTGGATGAGGGTGTGGAAAGGGAAAGGGATGTGCCGTGTGGGTGGGGCCTTCTGGCCACGTCCAGAGGAGGTGCCCTGGGGCAGGAGGACTCTGCAGACGGAGCCGGGCCTCTCCCAGCCCCTGGTCCTGCCCTTACAGTCTTCCCTCCTTTGTCTGTCAGCATCTAGAGGCATGTTTCCTCTCGTTAAGGAGGCGTACGTGGGGCCAGGAAGTGCAGTCCTGCATCACCCATAGGATGGTGCCCTGGGGCTGGGAAGGCACTGTCCAGCAGGGTGGGCCAGCAGCGATACTGAGGTGGGGGTGTTCCCCTCCCAAGGGGCTACATCCCTGTGTTGAGTGATGTGGTCCTTCCCTCTGGGGGTCGAGCTGAGGTTTTCCAGAAACAAAGCGTCTGGCCTAGGTGTCTGCAGTGTGGAAGGACGGCGGCAGGAGGCTTGGGGGGCCTGCCTTACTCCACAGCACACCCGGGGGTGGTCTGTTCCCAGGGGCTGGAGCCCTGGACCTGGTGGAGAGCCGCCCCCCCCCAACCACCCAATCAGCGTCAAGCAGTAGGACTTTGAGGGGCTGGTGACACTTTAGAAAGGAGACACAACCTGACACCTGGCTTTTTCTAGAGCTCTCTGGCTGCAGACCTGGAAAGAGAAGGTAGAGGCCCAGGCTGCAGGCAGAGGGCTAACCCACGGATGGGTGGGCCTCTTGGGACCACGCGGGAGTGCTTAGCTGCCAGCCGCTCAGCCCTGTTAGGGCTGTGAGCTTTCCTCTGCACTGGCAGGGAGCAGTCTTCATCGTGTGAGAAACTGAGCTCCTCAGCTTGAGACTTACAGTCACTTACCTACGTGTGGCCTCGTTTTGTTAAAACTTTATTATGAAAATCCACTTAAATAGGTGAACTACTTTAACGGACTTTTCCCATTGATTTGAAAGGAAGGTCTTAAGCTTAGAACCACTTAGAATAAAATCCAGGAGGGTGAGAAGGGGAGCAGAGCCCTCAAAGCAGGCAGGAGGTGCTGCCAGGAGGGGCCCAGGGCCTGCCTCGTGCCCCCACATCTGCCCCACGAGACGCGCACCCAACGCACAGGAGATGCCTGAGACCCAGCAGCCAAGGTTCGGCTGGGTGGAAGCGTCCGCCATGGCTTCAGGCTATGGCTGATTCATACAGGAGGCGAAGTGCAGCCCGCAGGGTCAGTAGGGTGGCAGCAGGGCATCCAGCACTTCCTGGCCCTTCCCCGGTCCCTGACTGGCTGCATAGAAGGGGCCTGCCTCTCCCAGCGTCCCACGGCCACCACAGAGCCTCAGGCGTAGAAGATGAGCTCAGGGATCTGCCCGCCCTGGACCCCGGTCCCGTTGGTGCTGTCGGAAGAGCACTGGAACTGAAAGGTCACCTTCCCGCACTGCACTTCCGTCATGCCCTCCTGCCCGAAGTAGCTGAGCTCACTGCCATCCAGGACGGCGCTGGCCGTGTAGAAGGTGTCCTGCTCTACCTGCACAGGGTGTTCAAACCAGACAGAAAAGGTGTTGCTGGAGCCGTCGGAGACAAACTTGGTCAAGTTCTGTGCCAGGACCACCCCCAGCCGCTTGAGTTCGATCTTCACGCTGTACTCTGCCTTCCCGGAGCTGGAGCCGTACAGGCCCAGCCCTGCAACGAACACCCTCCTGTCCACGGCGAACTGGATGCTGTCGCAGCGCCCGCGGTAGCGCCACTGGTTGCTGCGGTAGGCAGAGGACTGGAAGCGGTGGCACCGCTGGGGGGCAAGGCCCTTCCTCTTGGTCAGGGGGAAGTCCAGGAGGGGCTTGTTGGCCGCCGTGTACCACAGGAAGATGTTGTGGGTCTCCTCCAGCGTCAGGATGTCTGACTGGGCGGCACCATTGGCAAACTCCTCCAAGGTCATGGTTGGAATTCGGACCAGGTAGAGGGCTGGCCCCAGGACGTGTCTCTTGTTGCGGGGGGTGACCGGCAGGCCCTGCCTCTTGCACTCTGCCTCAGCCCAGCTCAGAACAGCCTCAAAGACCACTGCCTCCTTGGTGTTGAGGGCCTCCCGCGTCACGATGATTTCCAGTGTCTGCCAGTCAATCTCACAGAAGCCTTCGGACCGCAGGGCCATCTCTGCCTGTGCGTCAATGACCTCCCAGCAGCGCTGGGTCAGCTCAGGCTCCTCAAACAGCCGGCTCTGGGACAGCAGCACGCAGGCGTTTTTGGCTTCCAGACTTGTCTCCAGAAAGTTGACACAGGCTTTTGCTAATGCAGGGACGATGTACTTCTTAGCAGCATAGAGCGTGGCCAGCACTGTGTCAGCTTCCAGATCGATCTCGTCACTGTACATGTACCTAGGCAGGACGGGAGCCAGGTCACAGGTTGCACAGGGCACGCCGCGTACCCAGGGCCTGGGAGAGGTGCCCATCGGTGCTGGTGGACTTTGCCGGAGCTGCAGGATGCTGGCTGGTGGAACCAGGCAGCAAGGCACCACCCCATCCTTGAGCACTCACGAAGCAGACTTACTTTAACAAGATCAGAAAAGCTGCAGGCTCCACGTCAGGAATGTGGATTTCTGACTTGACTTCTGCCAGGTCCCCGTAAAACATAGCATAGAAGACGGAACTGCCAACGGCCAAGACGTACTGTGGAGGAGAGAAAGAGCTGCCCTGAGCCCCGGGCCCTCCCCGCCCCCGCGGCTGCCACACCCCAGGTAGAAGGCAGTTCATACTCAGGAGGCGCTGGTCGCCTCTGTGAGCTCAAAGGGCCGGGCCTCTACCAACCTTGTGAGCAGGCACCCTCTGGGCTGCGCCCGGGGGCCCCACGACGAAGTGGACGTCAGCCATGAGCTCGTTGTTGAACATCAGCGCGTTCCTGCAAAGGGCAGAGGCACACGACGGCGCTCGGGGCTCGGGTGGGCGCGGGGC